ATATATATATATATATATATATATATATATATATATATAACACCGGCTTGGGGGTAAGCATGGTGCCGACGCAACAACAATAATAACAATAACAATAACAAAGGATAGGTGGATTCAGATGCAGAACAGAGTGAAAACGTGAAACAGTTAAAATAGTAGATAAGTGGAGTGACATTTTTGGGGTGTTTCACCGTATACATTTTGATGCTTTTGTGTGCAACAAGTTTTGTTGTATCCTTCATGCGAGTTCGTCAACATCAGAATTTGCGTGATGACTCAAACCTTTTCTGTTATTACACACACATTTGAGTGATGAATAACGGAAGGGTTAAACCTCCGTGGTTGCGAACAACTGGCTATTCAGTGATAGAAACCGGTAACCTAAGCCCCGGAACCTGGAGTGGAGTGATCCACAAAAGGCCCCACCAGGTTAGGCGTGATATTGAGCCGGACGACAGCGAGGCTGCCTACCACCAAATTTGGGTGGCGGGGTCCGAACCTCAGGCCATTGGGTCTACAGCACGCCGACTAAACCACGCCATCTTGAAGTACACAACACTTATATATGCATAAAAGCATTGTGTGAGCCTAGGCCAATCAGTCCAGCTCGTCTACAACCGGACGAGGAGTAACAAATTTTTCAAGTATAAAGAGGCTCCAGCTGATCATAAGCACCAATCCGGTCTACGAGTAAAACAGCATGAATGAATGGTTTGTCAGGTTAGCTTTCAGTTTCAGTGAATCGGCCTATCTCACCCCCTGCTTTTGTTATCTGTTGGTGTATGCAATCTTGCCGTTATTTTGCTCTAGCTATTCAACTGATGGTAACTATTCCCTTGACGGCAGTAGATATTTGTGTACAGATGAAGTGAGGTGATCACCGGGGTCACATTGCGTAACCCCATGTTTCTGACTTCCCTATCCAAATTTGTGCGTGGCAATCGGGTGTGAATTTCAATTCATGTGAACTGGTCGATTTTTCGCATAGCCGGGCCGTTTTAAACGCGGTGTGCTGACCAGACAAAGAGCAATTGAACGAAACAGTAGGACAAGGTATGCACAAAACGTAATCAATCAAAATGTACAAATATACATGTGGCAAGGCGATTGTTGAATTCGTGTTAGACAAAGACAATGTGTATGCTCAAATCACAAAACGATCCAAGGAAGCTAGATTTGGGTAGGGGTAGGGATGAACTAAAATAATGGTACCTCTAACGGCCGAACAAAGGAATGAATGAATCCCTAACTGTTCCTCATAACTTCTGATGCTTAAGGTAAGCAGAGGAACGCCCCCCCCCCCCCCCGGAGTCCTCATGGGAAAAATGTTGAACCAAAAAATAAGGCCGTAGGGGGAAGAAAACACGGCACTTACTTGATCACCTGCACAGCAGTGTTTGGACCGAACCAGCTTCCGATGGGTTTGTCAAACGCCATTCCAACCATGGCTAGATAGAGTATGAAGAACAGAAAAATGGTCACGGCGGTGTAATCAGCAATGAATAGTAAAGAAAAAGAGACCTCATAATGGAAAAAATGCAATGGGAACAACTCACAAGCGCTAGTTAATGCGTAGATGGTAGATCGTGAACTTATCCGTCTATCCCAAAATGTTTCCTTGCTTTTCGCAGCTCTCACCCCGTTTAACTGGTAACAGGATTGAGCATTTAAGGACATTGAAAGAGAGCAGCATGCCATCTTTTTAGGATTACCTACTCTTATACGAATTCTCCTTTCTCTTGATCCAAGATTGCGCGTGCAAACTTTGTACTTTCAACTACAGGCTGCAAGGCAGCAGAGTTTAAACAGACAAGCTGGTGGTAATCAGTTTGGTTGCTCTGCAAAGCCTTATCGACTAGATGAAACGGGACCAGGGGCGATCGCTTTTATACATTGAGGTTTTAAATGAGTAAAACCTCACTAGTGTCCTTGAACTCTTGTGGTAGAAACACTTCATTCACAGCCGCTTGTTCGGTGAGTCTGAATTTGCCTTATTCACAGCTAACCATCAATTCCGCGGTCGCTTCCCTACCCGAGACCTGGGACTTAGCCAGATAGAATGCACGTTTGTTCCAGGCTTCTCGGATTACTGCTGAAAATTCACCATTGGGTGCATAAAGCTTTTCTTGACTGACTTGAATCTGATCACGGGCCAAACCCCATGCATACGAAGTAAGCAAGCGAATGTGAGGTGGATAGACAACGAGAGAAAAAAGCGAAATGCATCAATTTGGTCGACGCAACGACACCGCGACAAAATTGTGCACGGATGCCTCTTCAAACCGTCAGAGATGGCTAAATCGTAAATGCGATCGTTCTGTGATCAATCGACTAGGGGATATGGGCTGTTCGAATGCCAACTGAAAACATGAGTGGTACTTGCCACTCCCTGCTTATCTATTCCGCTTTTCCTATATCATTTTCAAGTCATCTGATGAACTTTAAGTAACTTCCTCGAACCTTGCAGTAGTAATTGCGATCGGTATGCGATACATTAGAAGATTACTAAAGATGTTCACTGTGTGTGTGTGTGTGTGTGTGTGTGTGGTTTCACTAGCGGAATCTTGTGACAGAACTGGGGATAGACATTTCATCCTACAGAACAATTCTTCTTAGTCTCGTTAATGCACAGTCACACATACACAACCAGGCGGCTTTGCTGTCGTACGGTTCAATACCACGCCTGACCTTATGCGGTTCACCACTCCAAGTCCCGGGGCTTAGGATGCCGCTTACCATTATTGAACAGCAGATCTTCGCGATTATGGGGTTCGCCCCGTCTGCTGCTCATCATACACGGGTGTGTAATTAAAAAAACCTCAAACCGCGCCCTAACCCAGAATGGGCGTGGAATAATGGAGAAAGCAGAATTTTTCACCTGGACTACTACATCTCTCCTGAGGGAAGTGCTTTCATGCACGGATAAGGTTTATTCGGTACTGGCAAACCCGGGATATGGGGAAAAGGTACAGAAAAACTGGACCCACTAACTCAACCGGAAGACTCTCTGGAATTAATCCAGTCTATGGCCGAAGATACTAAGATGGTATAACAGTGCTGGTGGATCAGATCACTATACTCACGCATCTTGTTCATCTTCCTTTGGTGTACGCCTGATTTTTTCTTCTTTGTTCAATCAGATACATTGTTAAAAGATAATAATCAAAATCCGAGAAAGGGATGTGTAGAGAGGAATCGTTGTACAAACTGGAACACATGACAACACGACCATGAGCACCGCTGTGTTGTACTACAGTCAGATAACAGATAATTTGTCAATTTTACTGCCCCATACTCTACGTTTTTTCGACAATCGATGCTTACGACACAAGTGGGGTGGAGTGAGCGAGTTAGTAACCTAGACGTAAGTCGTCGGGTGTTTGGGAATGCATCAAACACGAACTCGCTATCGCATTGAATTCAGCAAAATAGGCTCCGTTGGTTAGGACACGTCTTGCGTATGTCCGACGGTCGCCTAGCGCAGCGCACCTTATTCGCAGTGGCTGTTGCAGGCTGGAGAAAGCCACGTGGAGGCCAGCAGATGACGTGGAGACGAGGTATGAAGAAATGCACAGAGCGATTATAGAGAGTAGGTGTCTCTCGTCTTCCAGGTTGGAGTCCAAAAGACTCCGTAACCGTATTGTTGGAGACGCTGAAGGTCACGGCTGCGAACCGACAGCAATGACGATCATGCTGTCATTTCGTATCAGACCGGAATGCTTGAAATGGTATATACGCATATTTGGACTGTTTATTCTGCGTGTTGACCATAGAGGTTCGCTTCCTTTTCCCGTCCCCAAAACTACGTCCGATCCCTATCCTCCTTCAACATTCTCACTTACCTTGTATGCATTAGGAGTTTGGCAGCGATCAGTGAAGTTTGCTTCACTGTATTACGCTGTACAATGATGATGATGATTTCAAGGAAATTACTTGTGTATCGAAGAGAAGAGATTCTGAGTTTGCGCAGTTCTGAAGCACTGCGGGACCGATCAATGGAATAGGTTCAACTCGCTCACAGTAATGAGGTGGAGCATGCATGCTTCCATCGTCCCTGGGGAAGACCCTGACCAATACATTCACCTGAGGAGGAGGGCTTTTCAGTGAAATGAGAACGGAAAACCTGAAACTGATGTCTAACCTCGGTGAGCGCATCGCACGAGGTTGGTTACCTACTATTTTTTTAAGTCAGAGAAACCAGGTATTTCTTTGCCTCATTCTTGAAGACAGATTCATCGGAAAACTGTATTAAATGGTANTTTTTCACCACATTATCTGGTCACGTTGTTCTTTGGATCAAAAAGAACTTTTTATTGGTGCAGGCCCCAGTATAATGCACAATAGAATAATTAAAAATACCACTGATCGGATAGGAAAACTGTGAGCCTAAATCCTGGTACTTCAAACCACATGAAATCTAACCATACACATTCCGAAATAAAAAGTAATTTAGCCTAGTAAAGATAGTACATAAGAAGTATTATTCTACAGAATGTCAATTTCNTCAATTTCCGTCAAGCAGAATACTGGCAGTTCACCCAAGGGAGTTGGCTAAAACCCTGATTCCAAACCGATTAAGAAGAGGCGTAAGAACCACCCAGGCACACTCTCCTGGTTGTGGCAGTGGTCACCGGCTCGAGTCAGCATCGAGGTATAAGGGCTCTTTGGATGTTTGACACTAAAGAGCACATGATTCGATAAACTGAACATCAACCCCCAATGGATTGCGGTTTCCACCCCACCCCACTGATTTGTGAATCGGACCTAAGCTAGACGAAGGCTCCGGTTGTAAATTCTTCAAGAAAACTTGACTGCTTGGGCTCGGAAAACCTGGTAGTATTTCGCCCACGAGCCTGATGGTGTACCGTGATTTGCTTTTTCTTTAGTACAATGCAATGAACAGCAGGCGGGGAAAGCCCCATAGCGACGGGAAACTACTATGATGGAAACCGGTAACTCAAGCTCCGGAACTTTGAGTGGTGGACCACATTAGGCCCCGTTAGGTTAGGCGTGGTATTGAACCGGACGAAAGCAAACAGTCCGAACTTCCACAGGTGTGAATTAGGAAAAAACAAACAAATAAAAATGTTGACATATCATCCGATATTTAGTAGTTGTAGTTGTCTATGATCGTATGTTTCTATCATACAAAACACAATACTGAGTTCATCAAACTATTCAGACTTCTTGTAATGACAATCACACGAGTTCGGTGAATTGACGGATGCAGACATGGAACCGTAGATGGAGAGCAGGTCAGAAATACGGATAAGGAAAAAGTGACTTACAGATGTTTTGAATTGAGTAGAGCGAGTTTTTGTGATCTTGAAACAGTCGTCGCAAATGGCAATACGCCTCGTCCGAGCAACCTTTGGTCCAACGCCAGGCTTGAGTTATTAGGATAACAAATTGAGGGAAATAATGTAAACCAAGGCAAATGAAATTGTTTGTGATTGTATAGAACAGTTCATAGATAACAAATCATACTGCAAGCTTCTTTATAACAAAGAAACCAAGAAACGATTGATTTTTAGACACATTGCTGACAAAATGCGCGAGTCAGACTGATGGAAAGATGCGCCGTTGGAAACAAAGCATACAAGGGGGATAGTGTATGATCAATCGAGAAGGCACAACAGATAACCCTGATAACAAATACTCAAGTAAAGTAGGCTCTTTTCTAACTTTCGCTAGCTTTGTCAATCGGGTATCATTCTCTCTAACGCTTCACTATCAGATCAGGTATTCGTTGTTAGACATATATAGATATATATCATGGTGATAAACATCGGGAAGGATGATCTTCATAGTTCGATAATGGGAATCGGTGATCCAAGCCCTTGAACGTAGAGTACCGAATCACATAGGGCTACAATAAGATTGACGAGCTGTTGAGCCGGATCACAGCAAAGCGGTTCAACACCGAAATTGGTTGACTACAACTTGAGCCTTAAATTCAGTATCTGAAGCTTTAACCGAATATTGTAAACTCCAACCATGTTCAGATTGGTGATGATTTCTCTGGACATAACGTCGTTGTTAAACGCCGTGCTACTGTTATAATCTATCGAAAATGTATGCAACCACATCATAATGAAGGAAATAAACAGTGACATTCCCAGAGTTAACTTAAGAGTTACTATTAGTACTACGTTGGGCATTTATTGTCACACTTTAATCAATAGAGAAATACATAACCTCACCACTTCGAACCTCCCACGACCGATGTATTAGTTGCAAAAAATGGGAAAATCATAAGCTTCCTGTAACACCCGTGCTTCAATGTTACTCACTTCAATTGTTTTTACAACCATTAACCATGCACCTTAGTGCGCCCGTTTTGGTTGCTATCTTTTGGTGCCCCATTTGGACAAGAAAGCAGAATGAAGATTGGAATGTTGAAAGCAAATTCCAGCGGAAGTTGCAGAATTCATATAGAATGGTGTTA